GAGGAGGGAGGTGATCGTGCACCTGTACTCGTCACTCGTGAGACCGCACCTTGAGTTTTGGTCACCACAGTACAAGAAGGACATCGAGGTGCTGGAGCAGGTGCAGAGAAGGGCAACAAAATGGCTTGTGAGAGGTCTGGAAAACATGCCCTATGAAGAGCGGCTGAGGGAACTGGGTTTGTTTAGTCTGGAGAAGAGGAGGCTGAGAGGAGACCTTATTGCCCTCTACAACTACCTAAAAGGAGGCTGTAGTGAGGCTGGTGCTGGTCTCTTCTCTCTAATTACTAATGACAGGACAAGGGGAAATGGCCTCAAGTTGCATCAGGGTAAGTTTAGATTGGATATTCGGGGGAAGTTCTTTACTGAACGAGTGGTGAGGCACTGGAACAGGCTGCCCAGGGAGGTGGTGGAGTCACCAACCCTGGAGGTGTTTAAAAAAAAGTAGATCTAGCACTTGAGGCTATGGTGTAGTGGTTAGATATGCTGGGATGAAGGTTGGGCTAGATGATCTTCAGAGGGCCCTTCCAACCCCTAACATTCTGTGATTCTGTGAAGATATCCGAAAACAGCTAGGGCAATCTACCATTATTATTATCATATATGTTACTATTTAGATTAATAGTCTAAGACCATTAATGCCTATGTCAGAATTATTTTTTTGAGATGTATTGAAGCGTGTGTGTGAGAATGAATCCCTGAAATATTGTGTAGGAAAATTTTGCTCAAGAGGGTCTTTTCACTTCATATTTCTGTCATCACGTTTTCCTCAGAGAGGATGGAATTCTTCTGATGTTTCCTATAAGCAGCTCAGTGAGTTTCAGATCTCTAGAAAAATAATGATTTGGCTGACTTTCCTTTTCCACTGAGATATCTTTATTATCTGATCATTATTATTTTTCTGATATTAGATTTCTATATTACAATGCAAGTGTAGGAAATAATAAATGAAATGGAAGAATATTTTCATTTGCAAACAAATCAGATGTTTTCCAAATTTTTGCTTTACAGAATTGTGATTGTTTACTTAATTGATTTATGAGTTTATACTTATATAACAATTAGATCAATAAATATTACTAGTTTAGTGAATTTGTTGCTTTTTTATGCTTACTTTACTTGCTACTTCTATGTATCTAATATCCACATGATCCAAGCAGTTTTACAATTGACACTTTCAGTATCCATCAGTAAGAACTATGATCTGAAAACTAGGTTTATTCACATTTATTTCACATTAAGCAAAATGCAACATTTTAAATTCAAAATGGCTGTATAAAATTGTTCATTTGTCAAGAATATTTTAGTGATGCAAGTATGTTCCTCGCTTTTTGTCTCTTATTAAAAACATTATGAATGTCTGTTGCCCAGTTCTGTTGCTGATCCTTTACTACTTCCAGGATTGAGGTTTCAGTGTGAAGGGACACTCCTTGTGGAAGGAGGAGAAGAGGATGGGGAATCTAAATCACCTGGAGTAGCTGCCCACTTTCCACATCAAGTGTTTTGAAGTTCAGTAGCATTTACATGGCTTCTGTTTTTAAGCAGAGCTTGAGGAAAGGCATAGGTGTCCATCTGCTCAGAAAAGAAATGCTGACCTCACTGTGGGGAATACTGATTGAGGCTATGGGAACTTTTAAAGGAGCCTGGGAAGTGCCCACACTCCTGAATCACCTACTGGATTAGCTGCTGCTAATTTGCTGCTGATGGACTGAAACACTATCTAAATCCTAAATACTACCAAAACGAATTTAACATTCTTTCCCCTAAGAAAACTCAGTAAAATAAATAGGGCTCCTTCTATGAGAAAGATGTTTATCTTTTCATAGATGAAGTCACTCTCGATCTTTTCAAGTATTATGAAAGAGATGTAATTTTCAAAAATATTAGTGATAAACTCTTTTTTTTCAAGCATAAGTTTGCTTTAGGTGATAGGGCAAAGTTCATGGAAAGGCACGTGGAGAAATTTTGAACCCAAGTGGACGGACACAATGTTTACCATGAACAATTCTAGTTGAAAAGCATAAAATAGAACCACACTCCTCTCTTACATCCAAGGCAATACCCATGAATTTCATTGCTTAAAAATGGATGCTTATTTTCTTCATAAACTCGGAAAACTTCTTGCTACTCACTACAAATTGTTATACAGCCACATTAAGGAGACCTACATATGGTTTTCTTCCAAAACCTCTGATCACCTGCTGCAGCTCCCTCCAGAACTGTGACAGGACTAACATTTGCATGGTACAGAAGAAAGCTCATTAAGGTAATTGATCTGGCTGAAAACTAAACAGTGTTGGGTTTCTGTTTGGTTTTGTTTTGTTTTTCTGTGGGACTGCTGTTCAGCCAGATCAGTGTCCTGATTTTGTTTACCATTTGCTACATGAATGCTTAAGGCAGCCCAAGGAAAACAAGAGAAGCACACAGCAGTGTAAGAGCAGTTGGTTGTCAGGACCTCACCTTTTGGCATGAATCCATTGTGCAGTCAGTTCGACGTGATCAACAGACTCAGTATAACACAAATAATTTTGATGTCTGTCAGGAGTAATAGTTATCAGAATAACAGTCTGGGGTGTTTTTTTCCTAAAAATATATTTGACCCATAAATCATTCATTCAAGTAACTTATAAAGCTGCTCAAATTAGTTGCTCTGCTTAATGTTGCTTAAGTTGTATGACTGTTTACTGATGTTATGCAAAATTTTTTTTCTTTTTGTTCTTCTTTCTCTACTGGATGACCTAAGTTTTACACAAAAAGCGTTCAGAATTTTATTTCCATCTCACCTTAAGATGAATTATGTTTGCTCATATAACAGATCTGAACTACTTGCATATAAATTTTTCTGTACTAAAATTGTTTATCTCAATCTTTTCTGAAACAAAAGGTAGATAAAAACTTAATTATAATATGACTCATAATTTACAAAAATGATCAGCAATCAATTTTCCTCTGGCTCACTGTAGTGCAACTCACTATAATAATACTACAGATTGTTATTACAATTCTCTATACTGTCTAAACTATATCTAATTATTTTATAGCTATGATAAATCTACTTACCATTATCATAGCTGTAATACATAAGCACATTGCAACATTAACCTTATTTGTTTTCTTCTTTCCCAACCTTAACAGAAATAATATGTATTATTTGAAGGGAAGGACAGCTAATGGAAACTAATGAGGAAAGAGAGCTCTATATACTTCTAGGGAAAGGCTAAACTGCATGAGTTAGATTTACATGCAGTTTTATGTTTAATCTTAAAAATGTCAAGTAAATTATCTAAAGCAACAGTAAAACTGAAGATATGAAGGACACAAAATCCAGACAGGAGTTTACGTTGTGTGGAACTTCCCTCATATTTAAAGATTGTAATATGTTTTTTCTGTGTCGTGAAAACATCTTTTAATATTGTGTTTCTTCCTCTATTAGCCATTTCTTGTGGACATCCTGGGGTACCTGCCAATGCAGTTCTTTCAGGAGACAAATTTACATACGGCTCCATAATTCACTACTCTTGCACAGCGGGTCGAAGGCTCATAGGAAATTCTACTAGGGAGTGCCAAGAAGATAGCCGCTGGAGTGGGACTCTCCCCCACTGTTCAGGTACTTGTACCAACCATCATTGGAATGTCACCTTGTAATTACATGAATAAGGCTATTCTCAAGCGATTTTTTACTACAGTCAGAAATTTATTTCTTTTCCAAGTATATTTAATTTCAACAATAATCACTCATCTGAATTGTAGCAACTTATTGAAATATTCTCATATTTTATCTTGTGTTTGAGAGGTATGTTTTGCAGCACCTTCTTTCTCCTCTAAAACTAATCAAGACTTGCATAGGAATTTAAGCGATAAGGAAAGTTATGATGTGTCTTTTCCATTTTTGACAGGCACAGAGGGGCAAGTGCCATTTATTCTTTTCTGTGAATATATGTTTTTCAAATGTATTTCTTAAGCTTGAATATGTGGTTCTCTTCACCCTTGCTGTTATCTAATTTTTGTTATTGGCAGTTATAATTAGCAAAGAAGTTGAACAATAAAATACAGTGTGTAGAGAGTGGTGTTATTGTCAAAAAGACAATAAATTTGTTTAACTGACAAAAAAATTACAGGAGTGCTTCCTACATTCATAATTATGTTTTATCTTTTATTTATATCACATTCCATATTTAGGTGTGTTTAGGTCTGAAATAAGAAGTATGCTGAAAAGACTTTATTTTCATCTTTGGCTTTGGTTTCACACCTCTATAATGGAAGAAAAGTGTTTAATTATAACAGAAACAATGCAGTTAGTAGGACTATCAGCAAAAGAGTGTCTTCATTACCAACACATTTGCACGTAATAAGTCTGCCAATAATTGTGCTCTGTTGTGTTTTACAGGAAATAATCCTGGCTATTGTGATGACCCAGGAGTACCAGCTCACGGGTCTAGACTAGGGGATGAGTTCAAAACAAAGAGTCTGCTACGTTTCTCCTGTGAAATGGGTTATCAGCTGAGAGGATCTGCAGAACGAACGTGCCTGCTTAATGGTTCCTGGTCAGGGATACAGCCTGTGTGTGAAGGTACGTATTAATACTGTCAGCATTTGTGACACTACTGACTGACATTTCACACAAAATGACGCAGAATGTTAGGGGTTGGAAGGGACCTCTAGAGACCGTGTAGTCCAAACCCCCTCTAAAAGAAGGATCATCTAAAGCAGGCTACATCGGAACGTGCCCAGACAGGTTTTGAATGTCTCCAGAGAAGGAGACTCCACAACCTCCCTGGGCAGCCTGTGCCAGTGCTCTGTCACCCTCACAGTGAAAAAGTTTTCCTTAATGCTTTTGTGGAACGTCCTATGTTCTGACTTTTATCTGTTGTCCCCTGTTCTATCATCGGTCATCACTGAGAAGAGGCTGGCTCCATCTTCCTGACACTCCCCCTTGACATATTTATAAACATTACTGAGGTCATCCCTCAGCCTCCTCTTCCCCAAGCTAAAGAGACCCAGCTCCTTCAACCCTTTCTCGTAAGGGAGATGTTCCACTCCCTTCATCACCTTTGTGGCTCTGCGCTGGACTCTCTCAAGCAGTTCCCTGTCTCTCCTGAGCTGAGGGGCCCAGAACTGGACACAATATTCCAGATGTGGCCTCACCAGGGCAGAGTAGAGGGGCAGGAGGACCTCTCTCGACCTACTAGCCACCCCTCTTCTAATACACCCCAGGATGCCATTGGCCTTCTTGGACAAGAGGGCACATTGCTGGCTCATGGTCATCCTGCTGTCCACCAGGACCTCCAGGTCCCTTTCCCCTCTGTTACTCTCCAACAGACATTTACTAATGGCATTTTATTCCTTAATAGAAAAGAAATTCTGGGACAGAATATGCTTTCATATGCTCTGAAAAAATCTAATGTAAAAGGATTTGTTAGCAGTTCATTTTTTGCTTGGAAACCTGAGTCCAAAATGATAAAGTTTTTAGGTTTATATTTGTAAAAAATTGTGAGAAAGTAGCTCTAATTAAGCAAGTATTGAGCCTGAAAACAGAAAATAGTTACCTGAGTTAAATGTAAAATTAAACAAATGCTTCTGATTGAAGATATGAAAGTAGAGTCATAAAGAAATCTGTCATCCATCTTCTAACAATACAATATTTTAATCTTCTCTTTCTTCATAATGTCTATGCCTCAAGGACTGAGCAGATGATAAAATAATGTTGTATTCTTAAATAAGTATGAACTAATGTACATTTTACATTTTTCCACGTAAGACTGTCTTTTATGAAGTGTACTATTTTTAGGCTAGCTCTTTCAGAAGAAATGATACAGAGAATATTTCTGGAAATTATGTTTTAGAACAAGATAAAAAATATAATAAATTTTTACACTTTTTATGCACTGTTGGAATTGGAAAGCAGTAATGGAAAACTTTAGATTTAGTTTTAAAATTACTGTTTTCCAGGAATGTTTTTACTTTTTCTAATTCATTGGAGTTGATGGATTCTATAGTATCTTTTGTCTGATACACAAAATGATAAAATGGAATATGAAACATTTTTAACAACTTTGTTACATTTTTCAACCTAGGGGTTTTATCACAGTATCTTCATCTAACAATTATTCTTTTGCAGTATTCTTCAGCACTAATTAATCTTCTGTCAGTGTAGATATCACCATAACTGTATGAAAATGGCAGTGGGTGCAGGATCAGTATTTTCAGGGGGGAAAAAAAAAAAAAAAGAACTTTTGCAATGTCCTTTCTTCTTCCCTTGCATGAAGACATTTAGTAAGATGGCAGCGCTTGGTGGCAGTATTTGAAATGTAGCTGTGTCTTCTTTATCTTTTTACTTCAATCTTCCGTTTTCAGAAAGAAAACCAAAACACCAAAACAATAACAATTAAAGAAAAAAGCACCTTTCTTTTATCTCTTCTCCTTCAGTTGTTTCCTTTTTAGCATAAATAAAGATGAGATTAGGAGAAGAACACTTTTTTACCCCTAGAAGTTCAAGTTTGTCTTTTTGTCCCTATCCAAATCTATTTTAATTGGCAATGAATTAGAGGAGTAGTCTCTGTCCAACAGTTACTGTATTTTTGCCAATGTCTGCCAGGATGGTCAAATAGCGATGCTTTAGAGGAAAGTTGTTAGAAAAAAGACCAAAAACAAACAAACAAATCCTTCTGGATTGACTGGTCTATTGGAAAATAAGTAGAAAAACCCAACACTAAACCCTCTATAAAACAAAATGTAATGATAAACTGCTGCCAAATCTTGTATGCATGATGCTGAAACATAATCATCATATTAATGTGTAGATACAGATGCCAAGAAGATATTTAGGTCAATACAAAATGCCAGTTCTTTTCTTAATTCAAAAAATAAATAGTTTATGCACTTTTACAATTGAAGAAGATATCAGAAAGTCATGAATGAGCTTTCTTCTCTCCAGTGACTCTATTGGGTGCAGTAGAACAAGCCGTGCAAGCCATCTGAATCAGCAACTGAGAGAACAAAACAAAACAAATACAAGTAAAATGATCATACTAACAAAGAGAAATAAGATATTAATTAAAGAATATATCTATTAAACATTTTCTTAATAAAACTTGCTACAGCTTTTTAAAAACATGACCTATTGACCTATTTTTTTCTCCTTCATTTAGTTACCTATAATGGAAATATTAATTTATTATTTTTTTTGACTTTTTCTTCACAGCTGTATCTTGTGGGAACCCTGGCACCCCAGCCAACGGTATGATAATATACACTGATGGAATATTATTCTCCAGCTCAGTCATTTATGCCTGCTGGGAAGGTTATAAAACTACAGGGCTAACTACTAGACATTGTACTGCTAATGGGACGTGGACTGGCACAGCTCCAGACTGCACAGGTCAGAAATAAACTTTCTCCCTCTAAAACTCTGAAGCAGTAACTCAACCAATGTTCCTACTGAAAATTATTATTTTGTTAGATAAAATAATACTTTTTCCCCATTCATTTATATTGAAATACATTAATATTTTATGTATCTAAAGATACAAGTCCTTTTAATACATGCTGGATTTTCCAGAACTATCTTTGTCATATGGATATATATGAGTAACTTTTCTGTATTTGCTTACTTCATGAATGTCATTACTGAAAATATAGCATTATTAGAGATTACAGTTTTGATTTTCTATGAAATTTATTGTTCAAAATTTTTCTTGTTTTGTATAAAAAAAGGATGATAGATACACATTGTCGACTATTTAATTGAATCTTTATTGAAAAAAAAAATCCCTTTCTTTTCTTTAACCTGCTAGTGATAAGCTGTGGAGATCCAGGTGCATTAGCAAATGGCATTCAGTTTGGAAATGATTTTACCTTTAATAAGACAGTCAGCTATCAGTGCAATCCAGGATACTTGATGGAGCCTGCCAGTTCATCTACCATGCGTTGTATAAAAGACAACACTTGGAACCAGAGTAAACCAATTTGCAAAGGTGCGCTTTAAAATTAAATAATTTACAAATACTACTTTCATACTATGTATGAGATTCACTAATCAGTGTCTTTATTTATAAAAAAATTGCAAAACATTCTCTGGGACAATTAATATGCAAATGCAGCTAAAACATTTAGACAAGTATTTGTATAAAATTTTTATTTATTTTGCATGTATGCTGTGATATGATATTAGTCAGTATAGTGACATTAATGACTACAGTAGAACCAAATCACTCTTCAATGAAGATTATCAGAGTGATCAGTTTAAAGCACTAGGATTGAAGTACCCATTTTGTTTTTGGAGCCCTTTTAACTTGGACTAGATGGCCAAAATTCTGTACAGGGATGCTGAACCCCAAACTTTCTATAAAAGATTCCCTTGTTGCGGTAGTGTGGTCATCATAAATAGCCAAAAACATGCTTCACAAATATCTAATTAACAGTGCTAACATTAAATTCATAGTGGGCTTCAGGCTGAAAGGCAAACAAGGCAGCCTGGTGAAAACTGTTATCTCATGTAGAACCACTGTAAAGTGATGTCTGATTTTAGCCTGTTAATTACATTTTGACATATGTATTTGACCATATTTTCTGTTGTAAAAATCACTGAATGAGTGATTTTACAGTTGTGCTCTTGAACAAAGAACTGATGCTTAAATGTAAACTTCCGGGTTCCAGATATTGGGTACTCTTTCAGAAGCTGGAAAACATGAGAATGGTTTTAAAGAGTCTTAGCCACTAATTGCCAATAAACTCAGTCTTCGTTGTGTGCTGAAAGCCTTAGAAGATGAATGAGCAAAGTTATATTAAGGGCTTTAATTAGTGCTACAAAATCAGTTTAAAATAAAATGCAAATATTAAGAATCATAGAATTATAGAAGCATTTATTGAAATAAATTATATTTATTGAAAACTTGTACCTAGCTCAGTAGCCTATTGCTGAGAGGGATATGTAAGGAAGAGATTCAGAACTGGGTAGGCTATATACTCTTCTGGCTTCCAGCAACCTAAAGTTCAGGAACTTCCTAAACCTAGAGGTGATATTTTTGTATTTAAATTGGTTTTCTGTCTATTAGAGGCTGCTTTGCCAGCACAGGAATGCTTTGTTGGAACTGAACAGCATGATTGATTTATTTTTTTTTTCAGTTTCAAAAGTATGAATAAATACTATATTGGATTGTCCTAAACCCTATAAAGTCTTGAAATTACAACTTTTTTTTTCTGTGATGCAGCTATTACCTGTGGCTCCCCTCCACCCGTTCTCTATGGGAAAGTGGAAGGATCTGATTACCGCTGGGGTGCCAGTGTAAGTTACAGCTGTGCAGAAGGCTATCAGCTATCCAACACAGCTATTCTCTCCTGTGAGGGTCGAGGAATTTGGCGAGGAGACATCCCACAATGTTTGCGTAAGTTTTCGGAGTACAGTTGTGTGGGGCTTCACCAAAGACACAATAAGTTGTCTTGGGCTACAGTTGCTCTCTCACATTTTAAAAAGGACTCAACTAGATCAGTTAATATATGGACTACTGCAGGATTCTCCCTCCTTCATCCTAAAAGCATACCTTGTTATGAAATTGAGTGGTTGTGCCTATTTAAGGTCATAATCTTCTTCCTTTCCCCAAAAGTCACCTCTATTTCTTACTACCTAACTGGACACATCACCATTTGCCTTACAGATAGTCTTTTTGAATGTTCTGAATTTTACTAGCAGTGAGCATGATTAAAATTTTCATTTACACTTTTCTTTTTTCCTCCTTGTTTCCATTTCCATTAACAGGTGAGAACAAGGATCCTAACCCTAAAATTCATAGCCTTGTTCTTTATAAATTCATTTTTCTTTAATGACGGCGACTACATACCTTTATTTGTATTTGTTTTTCAGCTTCTTCTAAAACTATCAACTCTTTCAGTGCATGAAATCTTGTCAGGACTCTGACAAACTTTTTTGCTTATACTTAATCAGGGCAAAAAATTTCCAGTCTACTCATCTGAGGGTGACTGCTATGAAAACTGAACTTATTTTGAAGCATTTCAGTATAGCGCTGTCTACTTTTAAAATTACTTTGTCATCCAAATATAATCAGCATTTTAGTGTCTCAATTAAAAGATCTGTTTTTCCAGGTTAACTTTTATGCTTATAATAACTATAACAGTGATAATTTTAAATTGCTGTCAAGAATTGATCTGAGATACAGTTCTGCACAGGTAAATGAGTGTATTTGCACTCATATTCAGTATACTTGACTTGCTCATAAAGCACTGTAGAATACTTCAGCATGTGCAGTTTTCAATAACCTTTTTTTTATTGTTCTTTCTTTTTTTATGTATTAGCTGTGTTTTGTGGTGATCCTGGAACTCCAGCAGAAGGACGTCTCAATGGAAAAAGTTTCACCTACAGATCTGAAGTGAGCTTTCAGTGCAGACCCCCTTTTATTCTGATAGGCTCTTCAAGAAGGTTCTGTCAAGCAGATGGCACTTGGAGTGGAATTCAGCCAACATGCATCGGTAATAACTACCAATACTTACACTGTTTCTGCTAAGAATATTCTTTATAAACTATCACACTATCGTAAGTCTTGCAGTTAGCTTTCCAAATATAGAAAATATCTGTGTAATATAAAAAGAACTAGATAAATAAGGTTATTTTGAGTATAAAGATTTTAGGATAAACACAATCACATACGAAGTCACTTGTAAATTTATGTGATTGCTTGTCTGATGCAAATGCAGAATGTCAGTAAGTGCAAGTGCCTAATTTGTTCCATCTATTTTTAGAATCTTTTAGATACACAGAAGACTTTGGTAGATTAAAGACCAGATTCTGTCACTGGAGAGTTAAAGGCATCTTTCAGACTCAATCCTAAATCAAAAAGCTTTTTGGACGTGGTGAAAGCAGCTTGTACAGCTCAAAAGGATGAAGCATGCTGGGTCTGATCTTTTGAAATGCTGATAAACTGTCAAGCACTATCAGTTTCTCACTAACTGGTGTGCAACTGATAGGCTTTTAGCATGTTACATACTCAGACTAACTGAGAGAAAAGCTGGACACCTATAACTCCCACTGACATCAGAATTTGATCCACCTTTGGGTGACTTGCCAGAGAAAATTATTTTTGTGTTATAACAGAAAAATCCACTTTGATATTTCTGAACAAATACATTCAGTTATAGACTGTAGCCCATTTATATATTTTGTTGTGGCTAGCATATTGGCTATGTGGAAGATTTAGCGTGGGCACTCTGGGAAAAGGCGGTAAGCATGATTATTGAAAGCAGCCTGTATTTGTAAATTAAGGCATTAACACTCAATACAATTCTTTGAATCCGAAACACTTTCCATCCATATGTTTTATGAACTGGGCAATCCATCTTACATCTCTGTTTTGTAACAGACACAAAAAGGTTTAAAAAAGCTAAATCTTGTGTCTGCTGTGAAGAATCAAATCTGAAAATATAATGGTATTTCTATTTTATATAACCTAATATAGAAGTATATGGAAAATATGGCATCAAAGACTAAAAAAAAATTCTTTTACATCATAGTTTTTTTTAAATGGAAAATATTAGACCATCTAAAATATTTACAGATCCCATTGTTAAACAATTTGGAAATTAAGATCAGTGAACAACACTTAGAACTATGCGTAGAACAACCATATGATGTCAAATGATGGCAAGCTTCTCTTTTTCTGGATATTGATAATTTCCTTTAGAAATACTTTGAGAATTCCTCCTTTCTTCCCCACTGTTTCTTCATATGAGACATATCTTAAAGAAGTAAATTCAGCTTCATGTGTCTATGATTAGCAGTCACATTCAAGCTGATGACAATTCACAACGAGCTCTTGAGCTGTTCAAGCAGCTCAAGGTCAGGAGCGTGTTTGGTTTTCTCATATTTTAGGTCAATATCCACCTTTGGTAAATATCAGTCCAGTTGAATTCTTACGCTCTACTGATGGTCACCATTGAAAATGGAAGTTGACCAAGAGTAAAATGACATATCATATTATTAGATATGATAAATTTAATTTTCCCTCTACAGGAAACGAAAAATTGTTACAGATGAAATATAGTCCCAAGCTGTGTTCTTTGTAATGCAATATGAGCACAAAAGCAGATTTGGCTGACAAGAGAGAGTCACATAGTACAGAAAGATCCGTCAGATCAAGTTCTGTGTTGTCTACCTGGTAGATATGACTGGGCAACCCCAAAGCAAACACACCATCAGAATGTGAAGTGGACTCCGCTGAATTGAAAATGATCTCAGGCTACCTTAAATTACACTTGTGAAACTGATAATCAGATAATTAGTTATACTCCATGGGAGTACCTTTTTTTCTGGAACATTGACTTTTCACTCTTCAGTAACAACTGTGGTACTAGTCCATTTGAAACTTGTGTTTTCTTGGTAATAAAGAAAAAAATCCTTTCAAAAAAAAATATTTTACTTGCTGTGAGAAGGCAGGTTGGTTTTGTTTTTATGTGGAGGGTTGGGTGATGTCTTTTTGCCTTTTTTTTTTTTTAGAAAACTAAACTAGTCATTAAGCTGGTCATTGGGAAAGAAAAGAGGAAAAAGATTTTCCTATATATTCTATCGGTGTTTAGAGCAGTGCGTCATACTATATATTCACAAGGGATAATCTTAGCAAAAAATAGTGTGATCCTAACTCTGAAGTTTAGACTGCCTAAGATACCTGTAAAATATACCCTTAAACAATGCAAGTGTACTGAAACAAAGTACTGTGATCTATCTTAGAAATTTAATTTGAAATACAAATGAAATATATAGAAATATACTTATTCCATTAAAAATTCAATTTTTTGTTATCAATAGACATTGATGAAATGACTTAATCTTTGCAAACAGTTTTAGAGTATTCTTTCTATACTGTAATAATATGTCATGTTTCACATTTTACATTAGATCCAGCTCATAATACATGTACAGACCCTGGTACTCCACATTTTGGAATACAAAATAGTTCGAGAGGTTATGAGGTAATTATTTCTTCTATTTATTATCTTTTGAAAATTAGAAACATTCAGTAATTGCAAATATATTTAATTATCTGTAGGCTTAAATTTCTGATGTAAATTGTAGGAAATTTCCACTCCTTTTAAATAAAAACTAACATTTCATTTCAAGCTTTTTTTTTTTTTAATAACACACAGCTTCAAAAAGAACTTCTAAGCTTTCCATATATCATGCATTCAATGCTTTAGGAGACTTGAGCAGGGATGACTATTTATAAATTGATTACCTAATACGATATGACATGAGATAATTACTTTGCTTTATGATCATAATTCTTTCATACATTGATGAATAGTCAGTAAAATACCTTGCAACCAAAGACCTGTCTGATCCAAAGGCCATGCAGCGCTTGACAAAAAAGTTAGCAATGACTTTACTAAATTAGCAATTCATTTTACTTTAATTCAGTCAAAGAAGATAAAATTCTTCCATGTATTGGATCCAGGTTCTCTCTGATGAATGTACTTTCTATAGTTTCCAAATTCATAGAATTGTAGTATCATAAAATTGTTTGAGTTGAAAGAGACCTTTAAGATCATCTAGTTCCAACCCCTCTGCCATGGGCAGGGACACCTTCCACTAGATCAGGATGCTCAAAGCCCCATCCAGCCTGGCCTTGAACACTTGCATGGAGGGCATGTCCACAACCTTTCTGGGCAACCTATTCCAGTGTCTTACCTGTTTCCCACAGCATTCTCCTAGAGAACTGACTGCTCTTGGCTTGGATGGGCATATGCTTTATTGGGTGAAAAATTGGTTAGACGACTAAGTCCAAAGAGTTGTGGTCAACAGTTATATCCAGTTGGCAGCCAGTCACGAGTGGTGTCCCCCAGGGCTCAGTACTGGGGCCACTCATGTTTAACATCTGTCTCAGTATTTTGGACAAGGGGATAGAATGCACCGTCGATAAGTTTGCAGATGACACCAAGCTGGGTGGAAGTGTTGATCTACTTAAGGGTAGGGAGGCTCTGTGGCAGGATCTAGATAAGCTGGATCACTGGGCCAAGGCCAGTTCCATGAGTTTCAATAAGGCCAAATGCTGGGTCCTGCACTTCGGACACAACAACCCCCAGCAGTGCTACAGGCTTGGGTAAGAGTGGCTGGAGAGCTGCCAGGCAGAGAGGGACCTGGGGTCTGTTGGAAGGTGTCACGTCCCAACCTTTCAGGACGTTGACCCAGGTTCCCTGATTCCCAGGATTAACGTGACTTACATCAAGGATCCAAACAGCAATTTTATTTATCAATCACCTAACAACAAGGTATTTGCAATTGCCCACTCAGTGCAACCAACACACTTCACAACAATTCACCAGTAAGCAAAAGAAACCGGCCTTGCCATAGGTAGCTTCCTGTTGAAGCTAGAAAGAGAGAGGAGGAAAGGGACAGAAAGAGGAAATAACACCACCCTTGGATCCAGCGACAACCACGGCACGCACAGCCATCTCCGAGTGGTGGGCAAAAAAAGCATTCAACTGCCTGGGGCAAGCGCCTTTTATACAGTGAAGCTCCTGCCACAGACCAGGAATGAGGCTGGGGGGATGGTGAGGGCTTGCAGCCACAGCTCCACTGGTGCAGGGCTGGGGTAGGGAACTCAGTAAAGCGCTGAATCACCCCTGCACAAATACAGACAGGCACCAGCCCGATGGCTGTGGCTCGTTTAGGTTCTGAGAAAACCTAGATTGTTTTGAGACATTTCTAGTCCCTCACCGGACAGCTGAACATGAGCCAGCAATGTGCCCAGGTGGCCAAGAAGGCCAATGCCATCCTGGCCTGTATCAGGAATGGTGTCAGCAGAAGTAGGGAAGTGACCATTCCCCTGTACTCAGCTTTGATGAGATCTCACCTTGAGTACTGTGCCCAGTTTTGGGCCCCTCACTACAAGAGGGAAATTGAGGTGCTGGAGAGGGTACAGTGATGGACTACCAAGGTGGTAAAGGATTTGGAGCCTATATTATATGAGGAATGGCTGAGGGATCTGAGTCTGTTTAGTCTGGAGAAAAGGAGACTGAGGGAAGACCTTATCACTCTCTACATCTACCTGAAACAATGTTGTAGTGAGACGGGTGTTGGTCTATTCTCCCTAGTGGCGAGTGATAGGACAAGGGGAAATGGCCTTAAGTTGTGCCAGGGGAGGTTCAGGTTAGATATTAAGAAGAATTTCTGTACTGAAAGGGTTGTCAGGCATTGAAACAAGCTGCCCAGGGAGGTGGTTGAGTCGCCATCCCTGGCAGCATTTAAGAGCTGGATAGATGTTGTGCTTAAAGATGTGGTTTAGTGATGTGTATAGGGCTAGGACAAAGGTTGGACTTGATGATCTTGAAGGTCTCTTCCAACTGAAACTGTTCTCTGGTTCTACGGTTCTACCTCACCCTTCTTCCTGCAGGCCCCTTTTAAGTTCTGGAAGGCCTCTGTAGAGTTTCCCCAGACCCTTCTCTTCTCCAGGCTGGATAGCCCCAGGTCTCAGCCTGTCCTCACAGAGGAGGTGCTCCAGCCCCCTGATTATTTCTTGCTCCTGCTCGAGACTTGCTCCAGCAGATTTTTGTCTTTCTTGTGCTGAGAACCCCAGAGATGAACACAGTACTCCAAGTGGGGTCTCACAAAAGCAAAGTGGGAGTATCACCTTCCTAGACCTGCTGGTCATGCTTCTCTTGACACAGCCCAAGATGCAATTGGGTTTCTAGGCTGTAAGTGCACATTGCTGACTCATGTTCAGTTTTTCATCCACCAAAACCCTTAAGTCCTTCTTTGCAGGGCTGCTCCCAATCCACTCATCACCCAGCCTGTAGTTGTGCTTGGTATTGCCCTGACCCAAGTGCAGGACCTTGCACTTGACCGTGTGGAACTTGAACTTTGCAACTTTCAAGCCTGTCAAGCTCCTCTGGATGGCATCCCTTCCCTCCAGTGGGTGGACTGCACCACAGCTTGGTGTTGTTGACAAACTTGCTGAGGGTGCTACCAATCCCACTCTCCACATCACCTGCTAAGATATTAAAGAGTTTTATTCTGGCTACTTTTGTCAATATCATCAATAAGTGCATTTTAATAGAACTGTTCACACAATCTCTCTTGTTTGTTATGAAAATTCTTCCTGACATGCATTTTGCATCCTATTGTCATGCTTTTCTCTTCTCAGTGGAAGTTTAAAGAGAATTTTTCCAGTTACTTCACCTCTTCTTCTGAGAAAGGTTGTATCACAGTTGACCATAAGAAGGCTTTCTGTAACATCGTTCCCCTAGTTCAATACCTCAAACAAAACTTAGGAATTTTGTAGTTACAAATGAAATGTAAGGAATTGTGACCTGGAGTTTTCTCTCATGAAATTTTTTTTGTAGGTGAAATACTTCTTCATAGGTTTTTTTCTTTTGCCTTTTTCCTCATAAAAGACATTGTTAGTCATCACACAATGAGAAACCTTTGAAATGGACTGGTCAGGTTCCATTGAAGTATAGGCAGTGATGTACAGGAAAGTGAGACATCTCAGTCATTTAGTTTGCTACTGACAAATGAATAAGCTGAAATGTCTGTCTTTTCCTTGTGCACAACCTTGTCAGTATTTTTCCACTTACTGCTTTCAAATAAGGTTACGAAATATCAATTCCTTAAACTGTAAAGAGAGGACATTTTCAGTTTTGAAAAAATGTATCTCTGGTAACTTGTTACTGTCTTGATACCTTGATATCCATGTAATGGATGCCTCTTTTATCTAATATTCTGGTTTAATCCGTAGGTTGGGAGCACAGTCTTTTTCAGATGCAGAAAAGGTTATCATATACAAGGATCTACCACTCGTTCTTGTCTTGCTAACTTAACCTGGAGTGGCATACAGTCTGAATGCATTCGTAAGTCTGATTTCTTATCTAATCAGTTAGAACAATGTGGAATTTTAAGAGTTACAAAGTGATGCATCTGGAAATTCATATTAAATTATATGCTGCAACAAAGTAAACTTTAAAACAGTATTTAAATTTTTTTTTTTGTTTCTTATTCTAAGACCAAATATGCTTTTGGGAAATTAATGTGAAGTAAGGCTTTTGAGATACCTTTTTCATGAAGTTCACAATAATTCTGTCAGCTTTAACTCAAAAAAAAGTCTGTCCTCATTAACCCACTGCATTAGCTGCTTTAACTTAATCTGGAGGTTTTGTGTGTTTTGGATTACTGGAGAATAGAAAGTGGCCTGCAAGATGCTTGGGACTATTTTTTTGGTTAGTATTTTGTGAATCATAAAGTAGAACTCAGCAAAATTCGGATTTTCTGGGCTTTGCATGGATATGCAAGTAATTAGAGTATTTATAGCTCTGTATGTGTTGGAGGACACGAAGTAGCTATTGAATTAAGACACTGATCTAAGCTAAAAAGTAATTCATTAGAATGACCTTAGATTCTCATCCTATTTCAAATTATCTGTGGCTTGTTATAAATGAACAGCATGGAGCACAGAGAAAGAATCATACTGAGCAAGTATATCTGTTATAATCAATGTAGTATGACAAAGCCTTCCTATGGAACCCTTATTTCAACTGAAATTTGTATCGAATTTATTTAACAAAATAACCTCTCTAATTTTCAAAATGTTGAGTGGAAGCAATACTTGAAGCTATGACAGTAAAATAATTCAAAGGATTAATCATTGCACCACGTATAATGGAATGTGCTTCCCTTCAGTTTAACTCTTTTCTGTTTGTTGTCATGATTTGATTTTGATGTTTTGTTTAAAAATACATGGTAGTGTCATTTCTGTCTTTCCACATGGATAAAACTATACACTCAGATGATTACTTTTACATGTAATAGCTACTTGATGTTTCTAAAACATGCATAAAGTTAATATAATTAAAGGGAATAAATTGGCATGTGTTTATATCAAATGGTATACTCTAATCCAATGGAAACTGTTTAACACCACTTTTTCTAACTCTAAAAAACCCTTTGCAGCTCATGCCTGCAGGCAGCCAGAGACACCAGCACATGTAGATGTGAAAGCAATAGATCTTCCTACTTTAGGGTATACTTTGGTGTATACCTGTCAGCCAGGATTTTTTCTTGCTGGTGGATCAGAGCATCGGACATGTAAACCAGATATGAAATGGACAGGAAAATCACCTATTTGTAAAAGTAAGTCATTACTCAAGTGATATGTTGGGCCATAACTAGTTGAATTTTATTTTCCTTGATCTTTTTTTTAATATAGTGGGATTAATTTTTTCCACTTCCTATTTGACAACATGTATGACAACATAGGTTTTATTTTATGAAGGAAACAGCAAAGAAATCAAAGTGAGCACAGCATCTAGGGGTCATGGAGGAAAGCATGGGGAAATGTGTGTGCAAATGCACAGGCACCCATACTTACATTTACTCCTAACAACAGCAAACAAAACTTAAACAATATAAAGTATTACTTACAACAGTATTTATCCTTATGTAACAGTTTTAAAGAATATTTAAATGTATTCATTATGTGATCTATGATTGTCTATTAGGAGAAGAAAAGTTATTTCATATCTTGGCTTTTATATTCATTCACATACGCTTTTTTTGTCTCAGAAAATCTTAGAAAATATAAATGAACAATAAAATAAAAAATAAATACATTTTTGCACCAGATTGCACTTTTATTTATAATCCTGTAAATATCACATAGTTCCACTAGAGTAACTCCAAGTATATAGTTATGAGGGCTAAATTTACTCTTTACATGAAAATAAACATGGCTTTAAGTTCCCAATTCAGAAAAATAACTCAAAATTATATTTAGAATATGGAAAAAGGAAAAACAGTCAGATGCCATGGGAAAGAGGTTTACAACATGATTTTTAATTGTAATATGTCAAATAACACCGAGTAGATTTAATGTTTCACCAATATTTGATTTTTCATTAATGTATCTGTAGGGTTTTTTTGATGTTGTTGAGTCATGTGAGCTACACATAGAAAGTTATCTTCTTATTCTAGTTCCCTAAAGAGTGTACTCTGTAGTAAATAATTTAAGATAAACAGCCTTATATGTTTTTTGTTGACTTTATTTTCATAAAAAGAATAAATTATTTAATGCAGAAAATGTTTCTATATGCAAGAATTCTTTTTTTTTTTTTTTTTTTAGCACTTGGTCAGACTAATCAGTGAATTTTTGCACCTTAGGAAAACAAACCAAAGCATGCAAGACCAAATCTTTCTAGTTGACATTAGCCTTTTCAAAGTGGCTAGTGATATGAGGCCAGAACCTTATCTGGGTTCAATGGACACAACTCTGCTGAGTGTACCAGAAATACAGCAAATGACACCAGTTGGAATTCTTTCCCATGATATCTGATCTTGTCATCTTAATCCAGCTATCTGGCTTTATTAACACAATTTTTACTATATTTAATATACTATTACTCATAATTAGATATAGTATTTGTCCCCTCTATAAGGCTCTCTTTTATAGCACTGGGACTGATATAAAAAGTTTAGGCCTAAATTAATGAAATACTTGGCTAGCCAGACAACTTTCCACAGCAAAACTGTTGTTTACCTAAACTGTTTTCTGATAGTTTTGTGTAAGTGTATAAGTTTGAAAATGTGAAATATTCAAGATCAGTTATTTCTGTTTTAAATATGGCTCTGTTGGATAAGAGATGATTGCATCCATCAGACACTGTTTTAACATTCTATTTTAAAAAAACCCACCAAATATGTTCATGAAAATGATAATTTGTCTTTTTACTTGTAGGTAAAGGAGTGAGAGAAGTTAATGAAACAATAACTAAAACGCCAGGTTTGTATACAAGAAGAGTTTTAGATCTAAATAAATTAAATTGATTTATACCCTAGGTTGTTATGGGTAATAAAACATTTTCCAATATTTAACTTAAGTATTACTCATTTCAAAGGAGTACAAATGTTCAGGTTTACAGGTGCCATGTAAAATCTCTGCTATGAAATTCTTTTCTAAATTTTTTTTTAATTTGTGTGGTAATAATTTTATGAAGTACACAAAAATATCTGTCAAGCCAAAAAGATAAAGCATATATACACAAACCCTAGCTTTGATGTAGTTTTATATCAGAGAGATTGCTATAATGGAGAGCCTTATAATGAGAAGAGACTATAATTGCAGGAATTGGGTTCAGTCAAAGTTCTGCCCTCTAGATTGCAAGTGTTCTAAGAAACCACAAAAAAACCAAACCCAAACTCCCTCAAGAATAAACCAAAAAAAAAGTTTTGGAAATTTTGATGATTTTCATTATTTGGAAACTCTCAAGGTACTCTAAGATAGGATTTCCTGAACTGTATGACCCCCAGCAGCAGGCCGACATTACTGCCTCCTCATGAACCTGTGTGCAGTTAACATTTTCTTCCTGACAATGACAAAATAGGCAGAAACATCTGAGAAATCTTTGATGTAGATCTTCCCAGATTCAATAATTTTCAGAAAATTAACTTTTTCTTCTTTTTTTTTTGTTGACTTTCTTAATAATGAGCAGAGTTTTCACCAAATAAATGAGCTTGCAACTCTATATTCTGAATTTTAGCAAGCTGCAGGGAAAATAAGATTAATGATTCACGCTCATGGCGGTTCAGAGAAGGACTCTGTAGAGTAGATGGGATAAAAAGGTATTTCTGCTCATAATTAATCTTCCTAGTGAGTTTATTAGTAGGAGTGTCAGGTGAAACCATAAATGAGCTCTTCTCAAATGTATTACTTCTACAGACTCACAGTAAAGCAGAATATAATGTGCATTCATTATAATTAATGTACAGTCTTCATTTATTGAAGGATTCACCTCACTGTACACCTAAGGTATGCATTAATCTGCTGCCACAGAGGTTTTGAAGTTTCAATGCCAAATTAAAGTGTAGACCAAGTCTCCAAATATATTCATTATGCAGAGCATCAGTATCAGTTCACACAGCATCATGTCCCTTGATAAGTAAGCACTACTTGAAAGGCATTTAAAGAAAAAAAGTTACAATCTAAAATGTCAGTAATAGAAAGCAGAGAACTAAAGCTGTGTAACAAACAGCAGTAAAAAACAAGGAAAAATTTTAAGCAGTTTTAAAAAACCAAATCTGCACTATTATTATGTCTTTTAAAATTGTGATTTTTTTTTAATATAGAATACTCTATTTTTTGAGCATTTCCTTTATCTTGTTATCTTGGCTTTTGGTAGAATTTCATTTGCTGCTATCTGCGTTTTAAATAGAATTGAGCTAGTGTTGCTAAACTTGAGGTTTTTTAACAGAGCAGATTCATGTTCTGGTTTCCCACCTTTGCCTATCCGAATAAAATTCTTTTAATTGTTGTTTATTAAATTGCTGGGGTTTTTTCAGAGTTAATGTTTGTGGGTTTTTTAAACAATAATAACTATCATTTTTTCAGTACTGTAAATTGTAATGGAATGTAAGTTGCAACTAAAGAATTCTCGCAATACCCATGTGAAGTTTAAGAACTGCAATGTGCTGTTTGGTTCCCATAGTTCTCACTGCTTTGTATAGCCTTTGCAAAAATAGTTAGGAAGCTGTTTTAATTAATAGCCATGAATTTCCCCCTTGTTCACATTCTGAGGAGAATCCACAGCTGATGTAGTATTGGCATCATAAAACCCAGTTCATTTTACTAGTTCTGCCTTTTCCCACAGCCGGTGGGAAGGGCAGGGGCATCACAAGGGCTCGGCAGAACTGGGTCAGAGCCTCGCAGATTCCTCACCAGCATCCATAGGACTGCAGCACTTGCATCTTACCTTTTTACAAAAACATGTCCAGGGAAGCAGAAACACATTTTCTTCCCTTCCTGATCCTGTCCGTCTGCAGCAAGTGCAAATTCTGTAAATACTGAGTCACTGGTACTATTTTATAAAGATTAACAGAAATTACTGACAGAATGGTTAGAGAAACTAGATACTGAAGGTGTTGAATGTGACGAAAGGAGTTTGATGTCTGCTCTTTTCTAACTGTCTTAAGTAGTACCTGTCAAGTTCAAACCAGTAATACTACATGTACAACCTCATGTGAACAACTTCACACACTTCTGATTAAAAGACACCAAAAAAAGTAATTTTAATATATTTTAAAATGCCAGATTTTGAATTTATTGTATGCCACTATTGTGGCAAAGCAATGAGAAATATGTAGGAAGAATGGTCTAAACAACCCTTTACAGAATTCCTGTATTTTCAGAAAATACATGAATCATAAGGACTGTGAGATACCAACTGAATCTCAATGCTTCAGAATTTTTGTATTAGTTGGGATTACCTTGTGTAAAGCCCCAGTCCTGCACTGAGTTTAGTTTTGGAAGGAGAGCATGTTACTTGTATGCTGATGTACTCAAATCCATACAGTGCATCTCAACTCATTTGGAATCCAGTGATCGTGCAGACAACATACTAATGATGTTTTTCAAGTCATGGAATTATTATCCTACTACTAGGAAGTGCAATAATATGATCAAGAGACAGTCAGCAGCTAATCAGTCACCAAATTTTCAGATGTACTGCCTGTCAGCATATTTTGTGGGAAATACATGGTATTATTGACCTGAGTTTCTTTTTGATTTATTTTTTCAATCAATAATTAGACAGAGGAGGAAATATCAATGAATTTTATTAAAAATGTGTATACAGGATACCTACGCTGATAAATTTCCTTCAATATAGACTGCTGCCTTTACATATGCTCAGAGTTTGATAAAATGCAAAAAAAATCCAATAATTTAAGAGTTTAGTTAGAGAAATGTGAAACATTTCTAGTATCAGTGTAGCTATTTAGCAAGTATCATTTGTAATAGTCATGGATAACAAGGGTGAATTTCAAGAATTGCTAGGGCAGTTGTTCTGTTAAGATATCATGTGATTGGTTAAACAGCTCTTTTTATCAAGTTTTATTTTGATTCTTAAATCTTTAGTTCTCAAATTGTAATGCTGGAAAAAGCTTCAAAGTGAGTGGAAGAATGTCTATTTTCACTTGTTAGAAGCTGCCAGGAAACACTGGGTGCTACCTCCTTATGGTGAGAGTTGGTCTCTCGGCCAACTGAACTGCGTGAAGGAAATCTTCCCCAAATTTTATAATAGCAAAGTATATAGGAGAAACATAGCAATGTGCATGGGAGAAATGAATGTTCAAGACATGTAGCATGTAAATGTGTCTGACATAAATCCTCTCCTAAGCATTTTTTACTTTTATGTGTTTTCTTTTTAATTTATGTTAATATTGCAGATACTGTTGAATGACACACTTTTTCTACTCCATGGATGACTTAGCCAAATATTTAAAATACACCATTTAGTGACTTGTAAATAATTTTTTTTTCTATATAAAGGAAAAATAAATTAATATGAAATAAACAACCCAAATACCTACAATTCATGTTTCATTTTATAGTGGTTTTTTTTTTACTTCAGATTATTCAAACTGCAATTTCTGAGAAACAGACCTTTATTTTAAACCAAAAAAGTTCCCAACTCTGGCAACTTCACTATTCACAGGTGCAGTAATACTGTATAGAGAAAGGATATGGACTCTAAAAGTGACTGATAAAAAACTTACACTAAACTGTAGCTGGAATTCAGTGAATTCAGTTGAATATACAGTTGAAAATCACACAAAGTGGTGCTTTTGTAGATTCATGAAACAAAGGGGACAGCCTAAGACAGTGCGTCCTTCCAGGAGTCCCTGACTTTAGAATATTATTCTCCTTTTTTTCTTCATACCTTAAAGCTACAAGGCTTTAGGGCTACAGTCCATTAGTCTTCATAGTCTTGAGGCTATTCACTGAAGCACACAAGCTATGAAGTGTGAGATTATTTAAGAACATATGTTGTAATGGGCAGATGTAGTATATTACAAGCAATTGTGTGGAAAACACATTAGATATATTGTCTTTACTGTTGTAAAATTTTTACTGTAATACCTCATTAGAACAATAGATTTATGTTGTAACAGAAAAAACAAGGAAGAAAAGTATGTCTAGAAAGATTGCTATTTTGTTGTAGTTTACTACTTTCTTTCTTTTCTGTCCACTTCTATTTAGTTCCCTCAGATGTGTTTTTTATAAATTCACTGTGGAAAGGGTTTTATGAATATTTAGGAAAAAGACAGCCTGCTACTCTGACTGTTGATTGGTTCAATACCACAAGCAGCAAAGTGAATGCCACATTCATTGAGGCATCCAATATACAACTCAAACTATCAGGTATGTTCAGAATTTGGCACTTTAAAAAGCTGTTCTTTTTTTTTTTAATCTGTTTTGTTGTATTTTCCACAAAACACAAAATGAAAAAAAAAGTATGCTTTCACAAAAAATATTTTTCTGCTTATTTTGCAAAAGGAAAGGTCCAAATGTAATGGTCTGCACAGATTTCAGTCAATTTATATGCAGTCACTTGTCTACTTTTCTCCTTATATTTCATATAAATACTGAGGTAGGGTTTTTTCATCTTAGACTGTTGAATAGTATTGATTTGTTGAACTCACAGGTAATATTGGAGTGACAGACAAAGTGAGTATAGGCATTTTAAGAACTGTACCATTGAAAAGTTCCATTATTCAATAGTGATTAATGTCTGCTTTAAAACAATATTGACTTGATAATGGCATAACATAAAATAGGCAGAGATAATGAAATAACTTAGTAAATTATGCATACCTTTCCATCAACATTGTGCACTCCTTTCTGCAGATCTGACTGATATTCTCATTTAGCCTCTGATCAAAGTTATATTTGAAAAGAACATTATCAGCTATACCTTTTAAGGTCAAGAGTTGAGAGAATTTCAGTAGTTGACTGTCAAATAGTAATTTTTATTTCATTGCACTATTGATAATTAGTATATCAATATACTGTTGTGATGTGAGTAAAATCCATCTTCTTCCAGTTCAAGGAAATTCCAGGCAAGGAATTCTATCTGTATTCAGAATTATTGAAAAGCTGTATGAAAAGACAAATATTCTTGCCAATTTATATATAATATTAAGAAATACAAAACCATCTTTGCATCCTGCTATGAAATATGATGTGGGTAAAAGCCCAGTAAATAAAATCCTGCTATTACAGTACTTTAAATCTTATTTTTGCCATGTTAAAAAGTTCTGTTATTACAGAATATTTTCTACTAAATATTTTAGTTCTAAGGCAAGATACTTAGCTTTGAAGGTATATTTAAACAAACTGGTGGGAAAATGTTTAAAAGCATGTGTTACCTTCTCTATGTTAATAGGTGTTTACAAGAAAGAAGAAGCTCATTTGCTCTTGAAAGTTTTTCATATTAAAGGACCTAGTGACATTTTTGTAAGCAAGTTTGAAAATGACAACTGGGCACTAGATGGTTATGTAAGTATCCTGACTGCTATTGATAAGCTTACTAAGTTTTAAGTTTGAAATAATTTATGATTTCCTATATATCTCTATCCAAATTTTTATATTACAGATATGGAATGCAGCCCTCTAAATGTCAGTGTAGAAATCACATTATTTTTCTTTTCAAAAGTATGTGTACAAACTTCTATTTGCCACACTCCCTTTAGAATTTTTAGTTTACTCAGGGGAAGGTGGAGACAATCAGCATATTTTGTCATGGTTTTGCCCTGTTTTCTTAGATGAGAGTGAGAATTTTACCTTTAGAAATATTGTCCTTTTCCATTTGGTAAATAGTTCACTGGATTTAATCTTCAATAAAAAAAGACTTATATTACTCTTTGCAGTTCTTTGTGCCTCATGATGCTTTCTGTGAGAACTAATTTAAAATCTGACGATTCTGTATCTATATACGAATTCAATTCCATGTATGCCAGTTGAAGAATTTTAAAATCCAGCAATATATATCAGATATTTTAAAGTCATTCCAAATGTTATTTTTAAACTTTGTTTAATACTGTTCAAACGTAAAATGATAAACATTGTGGAAGCACAGAAAGTTCACTATTATTTAAAAGGATAAAAGTGAAAAACTGGGCTCCATATATCTACTCTAAGCCAAAACCCCAAATGACTTATCTTTTATTTATTTGTTTCAGAAATCTTTTTTCTCTTTCAACATATTATAGGTATCCTCAGGGCTTGAAAGAGGTGTTTTTACCTATCAAGGTGATATACATGGAAAAGACTTTGGAAAATTTATGCTCCAAAGACAAGGTAAAGGCATTCATATAATCTTCTTTGGGTCTTGCAAAAGTGACTTCAACAAATGACTTGGCTATTTAGCTGAAGTAAGCATGTTTATTTCATGCCATTGCTAACATAAAAAATACAGTAAAATATGGATATTTGAAATATACAGTTCAAATCCAGTTTTAACTCTGTGTAGCCACCTAATAAGATGACTACAGAATGCTCTTAGAATGCCATTGCAGCTCCTTGGTTTTCTGTAAATATCGTTTTGAAAATAACAGGGGTGTCATGCAATGCAAAGATATTTGCTACTCTAATGTATAAAGTGCAGTCAGAATCATAGAGGAAATTGAAAGGACAGAATCAACACTGTTTTTGACAGTGCCATTTGAAGAGTGCTTGTTGCTGGTGGCAGTTGTTTCAGAGTATGTGTGTATTTAGAATTCTACTTGGGTGTCAAATATAGGAAATCAGTGACTGGCATGTATATAACAGCTAGGGACTCCAATGCTCCAGTAGCTGTTGAAAAACTAGTTATTTTAGGCAAAATAAATTGTTGTAAAAACTGATAAAAACATACTCATGTAATATTTAGTCATAAAATAGTTTTTGGCGAATACTAAGTGTAGACATCTGCAGTTCTTCATCTTGGAACAACTTCAGAATGGTTAAAGCATGGTATATACATAGACCAAAGTACTGGGCTAGGAGTAGGAGACAGACTAGCCAGGATATCTCTTGGAGTTTGTATCTACATTTTCTAAATTGCCTTGGTTCTAGTAACTTCACTGGTGCTGTACACAATGCTCTTTAAAGGTCTTCTAAATCTCCTTGTATTTCCTCTGTTAACTGCTGTAATAGCAGTTACGCTACAGATTTGTTCATCTTGGCCACTTCTTGAAATTGCTATATATGTTTAGTCTTCAGTGTCTCAGCCTAAGAACTGTCAGCTGCTGAAGTCAAGTACAATTTCAGTCTTAAGAGTAAACTCTTGTGTGAGACAAATTGTCTTCTTGTAATTCTGTGTAATTCTTATCCCTGTAACATCTAAGTGACTTTTTCTTTCTGATTTTAACCAGCACACTGTAAAGGCAAAGCGTTAGGATTTGTTCAAACATCTGACTTGTTTAGCACCCTTTGATATCACAAAACACTGAGAGTTTGCTTTGTTGGTTTTGTTTTGGGGAGTATATGTGCTTTTGTGGCTTTTCTCTTAAGCCAGGCCAAAAAAGGTATCCGTGGTTTGCCAGCAGCTCCTGGGGGTAAGTGAAGAACAAGCAGAATGACAATTCAACAGTTACAGCATTCTCCAGTGGATGTATTCTCCTGTAGTGGAAGCTATTATCCATGTCACCGTTTAGACCTGCAATATGAGAGCTCAGTTTGTATATTCCCAAGGCTAGTAAGGACCCAAACTGTCCAAGTTACACATAAGTTCCCAGGCTGTGGGCCTCTCATCTTCAGCTTTGACATCTCAGCAGACAGCTTGCTACAAATGCAGGCACTGTAATTTTTAGATTTCTTTATGTGATTTCTAAATAGACACAAATTTTTTATAGGTTTCTTGTTCTTTGTTGAAGAGCCTACAGCTAAAAGAAAACAGCAAATTTTCAGCCAACACAGGTCATAATATTTGTCAATATCCTCTCATATTCAAGGATAACTTGCTTTGTTTTTAAAATCTATTCTGTTCATTAATATTCTGCTGAGGTAATGATCTTGTATGGCCTCCAGCTGAAGACTTAACATATTTCTGTTTCTTCGGGAAGTTAAATTATCTACTGGCTTTACACTAAGAAGTATGCATAAACTATGCATGCAGTGGTGCATACATAATGTATTATAAAATTCTTCACCTGCAAGCATACTTCAAAGAACAGCATTTACTGAGAAATACTCGGTTAAGTGTGAAAGGACAATCTATTTGATGAAGAATTCCCTATCATGCAATACTAGAGAAAGACCAAGCTCAGTGGAAATGCCCAGTCTTGGAACTTAGTGATATGAAAACAGAAAAAACTTTTGTTTCTAAGTCTACCAAAAGAATTAGAATTGTAACTGATCTTGCTTAAGGGGTCAGATCTGTGACACTGTATTATTTAACCTGTTTTGCCAAGTAATCAGTCATTGCTGGGGGCTTTTTGTTTGCTTTGTTATGTTTTAATAACTCTGTCTCTAAAGGACGCACGTCTGTGGCTACATCTAGTTCCTGTGATTACTGAGTGCCTGTGCCTCACCACCTCAGTTCTATTTTATTCGAAAATCTTAGTCTTGTTCATTCCAGTCTTGACTGTCCTTTAAAAGTGTATTAAAAGGTGGGTTTGTGGGAAGAGGAACTTACTTCACTAAATTATTATTTTCCTATTTTTATTTCCTCTGAGGAAATACAATGACCCACTTCACTTTGCCTTTTTTTTTTACAAAATGCTTTTTTAGTTTGTCTAGATTGAGTTTACAAATATTGACAAGGAATATGAAATATGAATAATTAATTTACATCTGTGATATACTGTCTTGACCCGCTTTTTCCTGATAGAGTTTAGAGTCAAGGTGATTCATTTTTATCCCAGAGGTGAAATTAAGGCACAAATGGTGTCAGATGCAACAACAGCAAAATCTTTTATTGATTAACAAACACTGGAGAGAGATCGGAAAGAAAGGTAGGGAAATGGGAAAGCAAAGCAGTACAATGTTTGAAATAGCAAGAAGTATAGATACCACCACAGATACAGTGACATCTCACAGGTCTGCTTTTTTCAATTTGGTGGGGAAGATCTTCAGAGAGTAGTTGTTCATGGTGGCATTATATAGTGTCCCAAGAGCTGCTCTGCCTACCCTCCTCCTGTTTAGTGTATGCATATGAGGGTCATCAGGAGCGATATTCACCCCCACCAGCATTGCCTCTGTCAGTGGAGCTTGCATAGGTGTCTGGAGGGCCCATTATTTGCAAACGTAGTATGACTTGACACCTTTGGTCTTGCACACTGTTGGACTTTTGTGCTTGCAAGACAACTGCCTTATCAGCAGTTACATTGTTGGGCTTACATAACGTTGGGCTTACAAGACAGCCACCATATCAGCTGTTGGGGCGGGCCCAGAAGTTGTTCTTTTAGGACTTTGAGCTCCGTGGCTTATCTGTGCCAGGCACTGAAGTTGTTTTTAGGGTTTATCAGTGATCCAAGCTTGCAAACAGCAGCCTTGAAGTTTCTTCATGAGGAACTTCAGCAAGTTCGAAACAAACATTTAACACAGTCTCTTACATATGCTATATCAATGTCTGTAAAATATATATTCATTTCTTGAAATTGGTCAACTCTTAAAAGCATTAAACATCATGAGACATGGGAATTTTAAATTTCACTCTAAATTTCACTCTACATTTTACCCTTTTCCAGATCTTTTCATACAACTTCTGTCAATCACAAAGAAACTACAGCTGAAAAGGATACTCACAGCTTCAGAGTACAAAATAGTTGTGGATTAGCTAGTGCACAAATAGATATCTGGGACTAATGAGCTACGAGACTATATGTTAGTACACTGTTCACACCCAATGAGATAACTAAGAGTCTTTATTACCCAGAAATTATCAGTTAGATGAAGAAGGTCCAGCCTCTGCTCCTTGAAAGCTGCTGGTTTTCTTTCCTTGTTGGTAACTTTTCTTTTAAATCCTAGAGCTGTTAACCATCCTTGTCTCACATATTACTCTTCTACCTGTAATTCTGCTTTTCTTATCTTGCATGGCTTTTGCTATCACACTTTCTCCCACTGCATCAGGAGTTCTGTTAGTAAAACTGAGCCATGCTGCACTGATGCCAGACAGTTGAAACCCCGGGCTAGGAGTTACAGGGAAAAGGCATTTGGAACAAAACCATGATAAGGAAATGCTCTTAATGAGTATTTTCTTACAAAAAGTATAATTTTCTAGAATGCATAAAGGAGAAAATTCAGTAAGCACTTAAAGGGTAGAAGTACAAAGCTTGCACAATAATGACTTCACTGCGTATTATTGTAATTTGGACTTCACCTGACTGCTCCTGGTTTTATGAGGTTGAAGAGCCCCCTGTTATTCTGTGAAACATTTAAAAATATTTATAATCTTACTGAATATCAATAAATTTTGATAGTTATGGATACATTATTAAGTAGTGTTAATGAGATTTATACTATGATACTGCATGCTATTTATTTCTTGTTTTAATAGAATTATTTTATCAAGACACCATTTTCTTTCATTCTTGGATAATACAAGAACTGTGAGATAGAGAACCTAGGAATTTTACTCCTGATCTTTTTGTTTCATTTCAGGTCCTTTAAGTGCAGATGCAGACCTTTCAAATCACTACTATGGTACAAACAGCAGTTCTGTTGCAGCTGCCATCCTGGTACCATTCTTTGCTCTAATATTATCAGGGTTTGCATTTTACCTCTACAAACACAGGTATTGTAAATGTTATTTATTCAGTAGCTTAACAATCTTTTTGTTTTAATTTTATATGTAAGTGCAACTAGAAAGCTAAAGCTTTCAAAAATGTCTTTACTCTAGAAAGACAAATATTTCTTAGAATTCCCACAAAGGGGTTCAGTGCAGGGTGGTTCTTAGTGGTGAACTATTAGAAAAATGAGACACTCTGTTAAGGAGTGAAGACCTATCAACCTTCTCAGTGTGCTAGGCTGAATCAGATAGAAAACTCAGGTCATATGTTTTATTTTTTCATTTTAATGCTTTGTTAAATTGACTGTATGCTGCTTCTTTCAGAATGACTGTTCCCATAAGGGAACAGCCCATAATGAGACTACTTACAGTACATGCTGAATAAGCTAGCGTATACTACTAGAATTGGCATCACTTCAGCTCATATGAAGTTTTTATATGTCGTTAGATAATAGAATAAATCTGACCCCTTTGTCTGCAACTTGGTTTAAAAAATGGTATCTGTGAATCTTTTGAGTATTCAGCACTATTTAGCTAGAGATTTCTGGAACTAGTTTTTTTGTGTGTGTGTTGAGCTATAATACTCTGTCCTCCTTGTGCTCTTTGCAGTTTGAAAAATGGTGTTTAACAGAAATGCTGATTACTAACAACATGCTTTTAAAACTTTTGTTCTATAATCATGATACTAAGTGTATTTTGTGATTGTAAGAAATGACGTAAACTGAAGTCTGCCATTGCACTATGATGGACTGGACTTTCTACCTACCTCAGCATTAGATAATTTGGAAAAAAGCAGTTGCAGTTGGAACTTGTGAACTCCAGTTAAAATGATACATGTTCTGAAATATCATATAGCCTTTTGTTGAAAAAACTGCTCAGGAAGGGCTGTGAGCTCTCTCAGAACATTTTATTGTAAGATGACTTTCTGATGCCTACAGACCTGCACTCCTGCTACCTCCTGTCTACAATGGGGGACCTAAACAGTAGCATGGAAGTACAGGCATGCAGACTGAGCATGAGAGACAGAACATCAAGGGAACATTATTTTCATTTTGTTCTTAGAAAGAGGAGGCAAACTCTGAAGAAAAATTTAAAAAAATTGTATTGTGACAGAGGAGTACCTTTTGTGGTTTATTCTATGAAATTTCTTATGTCCTATGTAACCATTACAGGTTCTGTTTTCTATTTAGTATATATATATGTATTTAAGAGAGATAAAATTTAGCAGCTGTAATCCCAATGTTTATGATACTACTGGTGTACCATTGCAATTCTTGCCTACCTAAGATTTCCAACCATATTTTGTTTGATTTTCAAGAACCCTTCTCTGAAGTTTATCAAGAGATACCTTTTTAAATTATTTTACATTTACTAAGGACTAAGCGTCTACATTTTACATGTTTTCTTTGACTTACTTGCCCTATTACATGTATAAAAATATACGCTGTTTAAATACTTTTAGATATAAGAGATTTAACATTGAAGTTACAAAATGTAATAGAATATAATAAGATATCATGTTACTATATATATCAGAAAGTATGAACAATTCTGGTTTACTTTTCATTTAATTATTAGATTAGTATGTTCTAACTGAACTTTGCATAAAAGTGTGCATCCTTGAGGTTTTGGTATGTTTGGTGGTAAAACACTATCCAAAACAGAAGATTGGTTACTGAAAGATAATTATTTGTATACTTTGATAGTCAAGTGTTAAAATTTATGCGGTTATTTGTTATAATTTGATCGATCTGATTACATATGTTTGGACATACAAAATCTCTGTCAAGGTGTTTCACAGAGTCACAGAATCACAGAACTGTCTAGATTGGAAAAGACTTTTAAGATTATCCAGTCCAATCATTAACATAACACTGGCAAGTCCTCGAGTAGTGTTGGTTGCTTGAAGTCCTTTAGTAGTGTTTATTGCTTGAAGTAGTTATGGGAGTAAGCAGACGTGCTAGGGCAGATCTATCTGAAATAAGTGAAATTATTGTCCCTTACCTCAAAGTTACTCTCAATATCAGTGCAACACATTCTGAACACTTGCTATATCAGCACAGGAGTTGCCTGACTGAAGCTGTGCTGGCTGACTTTGCAGTGACTTAGATTTAGTAGCACCCGGGAGACCTGTTACAGCACTTCATGGTGCAAGGCTAACTTCCTGCTCTGGAATGATAATAAAAAGTTGATAGCAACAAATTGATAAAATGTTCCCTCTACCTCTGCTCAAAACCATCTAAGTCAATAAAGTCTGTGGATGTTTATCTCATCTAAAACCCAAAATGCTGTGGAAAGGGTGATTAAGGAGCCACTCACTCCCATCTTTCTATGTACTCTTAGTCATCTACTCCATTTAAGTCTTTTAAATTGACAAATGTATTGATCTTCATTAGAACATTTGCACAAATAATCCAGTTGCCCTCTGAGGTATGCTGTAAAACTTAGTGTGGATAAAATTCCAGATATCCAGGAAAGTGAAACAGAATATGCTTGATGGTGATTTAATTAAATTTGCCAATTAAACATTCTATCAATTAATTTCACCAATTTTACATTAATATCAATAGTTTGGAAAGACAAGGATATATATTTGGAAATTGGTAAGATGTTACTTTAATAAAGCTGTAGTAAGTGTTTCCAATCTGTATAAGGATTCTTTTGTGGTCAGACTAGCAATCTAAAATTGAAAAAGTCATCAGAAAATGTTATAATTTTTCCTACTGAGAGAGAATATTATAAATGTTATAAGTTCTAACTTTACTATTTTTTTGTACTTTTGTTGTATGTTGCTTTACTTTGGACTGCCAATTTTGTCACTAACAACAAGCTGTGAAATTGTCATTCTTTTGACAATTTTTTGATGGAATATGCATACTTATATTTTGCCTACATTTTCTCTGTGCTTTGTAGCATCCGTGTGCCCATGAGGAATTTATTTTCTTCTCTTCATGCTATAAAAAATAACTTCCAGACAGATTTCTCTTACTCATTAAGTCCTTTATGAGTCTCTTTTTATCATTTTTAGACAGTTGCATAATTTATGTAGACAGGATGGAAACATTATAAGTAAAACTTGCAATAATTGCAGAATTATTTTTTTAATGGTCACTAATGATTATTTCCTCTCTTTTTTTTTTTTTTTTCTTTCCCCAGAACAAGACCAAAAGTACAGTACAATGGCTATGCTGGACATGAAAACAGTAATGGACAGGCTTCATTTGAAAACCCCATGTATGACACAAACTTAAAACCCACAGAGGCAAAGGCTGTGAGGTTTGATACGACTCTGAACACAGTTTGTACAGTGGTATAGCCTTCAGTGCCCAATATGACTGATTCATAGCCATACCTCTGATGGACAAGCAGTAATTCCTTTGGTGCCATATACCAGTTTCCCTTCTTCTCTTGGCTTTGCTGCTGTAATCTTTAACATCATCTGTCAGCCTACATGCAGCTAAATTTTCCAGTGAAAATGTGTCAGTCTTCTGGGGATCAGACAAAGAATATTTTTCCATCTTAAAGTTGGATCAAAATGCCTGGCTGCATCTGCTTCAAATCAAGGCACACGTTAAGGAAGACTGCTGAGTCATGCCAGTTTGTCATATTTAATGCCTCAGACTTTCATATTTGTATGTGGCTGGATGCCTTTCAATGCATTCTTCTGGGCACTTGGATAAATCCTTTGAGTACTGTAACAAAGATAGCACCACAGATTATCCCCAGGAATATTCTGAAGAACTAAAGTTCTACTGAAGGAGAAGATGACCTTCCTTGAGGTTGTGTACACCTACAAATGCTTTACCATTGAAATCTTGCTAAAATTAAAGAAACTTACAGTGTATGTCATACATAGGGCAGTTTGCCAATTTCCCAATCAGCTGTTATATTGCAAAATGTTAATGCACAATTTTTTTGCACTAGAGTGTTATGGATGACTGAGTCAGATACTGGTAAAAATATACAGGGTTTCTACACACTGTCCATTGTATATAGGCATTCACTCACTCTTTGCCAAGCCAAACATTCCACAATAAATTTACTTTGAATATTAGATTATGAGCCCCATGCTTAGCACCAGTTAAAATCCTGTGCAACAGAGGACAATATTTCTTTTGTCAATTTTTGACTAAATTTCTTTGTAAACATGATTACAAGTTACTGGAGACTTTCAGCCAGAGCAAGAGCCCATTTCTAAGAAATTTTCATTGCCACTATTGTTTTCTTCTGAAATCAGTCATCAATCACCATTGTCAGTATCATACTATTTAACAGCAGGGGGGTTAGCAGCTATTGCTGCTTGCCATGTACAAATGTGAATAGTAATTTATTTTAGATAGCTCATAAAGCTTGTGAGCCTGTGCTCATAATACAGTCTTCCCTTTTGCATTTTTTTCCATTTTTTCCTGTAATATGACATCATTTTTCTGATATTACATTGAACTAAACCACATTACAGTAGCATATGTAAACCCAGTGCAAATTGTCTATAGCGAGCTGTCATTCAGTTTCTACTTTGAACAAAGAAAAATATTCAGTTATCTTTGCTTTCTGTTTATTTTCAGATTTTTTAAACACACTGCTTACTGCTTTTGTACTTATACAGTTTGGCAGAGAAAGTTTGACATTTGTAAATATGAATGGTTGAGCAAATCATTAACATTTGGTTAGAATTAGAGGTTTTGTTGAATGAAAATAAACAAACTATTAAACAAACAAACAAACAAATTAAATAAACAAAAAAATAAATCTGCCAATTGGGCAGATTGGTTAAATTGGGTTTTAAAATTAGGAAATTACAGGAAATTACAAAGTAAAATCTGATTTCAGTCATACATGTTGAGCTCAGAAACCAGGAATGTTGCTTTTCTTTAAAATTCAGGGTTGTTTTTTGTTGTTGTTTTATTTCCTTTCAGTTTTCTGAATTTCAAACTGTCCTAAGGTCCAGTTACTATCAAAATAATAGAAAAAATGTTTCTGAACTCTATGTGTGTAGGTTATACACAAAACAAAAAGGTAACGTAAGCTCAATAACAGATTTTTCAGCTAATATTGCAGAACGCAAAGAAAATTTCAAAGGTAACCCTTGGTCAGCTTAACAACACTACATCTGTTAGATGAAAAATATCAGCAATATAATACAGTATTGCAGGGCCTCCAGCTGTTATATTCTTCATCTGAGCAAGAAACTCTGAAGAAAATTTAATAAATAATCCTTTCCAGACAGTTCCTTGTTCATTTTGTTAGTAGTTTTTGGCTTTCTTTTTTGTTTGTTTCTGAGGTTTTTTGTGTAGTAAGTTTCATTTATCTGTCACATTTCAGAGCCCTTCACGTTTCCTGAAAAAGAACAAAGTCGTCAGATCAAAGTTGTTTTCCTGATCCTTCCCCACGTAGAGAAAGTTGCTCTGCAAATGAAGAGCTTCTGTAAGGACAGTGGGCCAGGGACGGAAGCTGTTTTGTGATTAAAGTTTTTGACAGGTGTTCAAAATTGACATTATTGCTTTGGAAGTCCTTCTGTAGTGACAATGACCAAACAAAACAAAAAAAAAAACCAAGCTGGAGAATTAAAACAAGTTAAGTTACTTTTATTGATGTTTTCTACTCCTGCCCTTAAAATATATTCTTCAGTGACCTGTCTCCCTATGACTACCAAGGAATGTGTTGGAGGAAAGGTCCCAGAAAATAGTTAAATTATTTGATCTTTTTTGTTAGAGAGCCCAGATCCTGTGAATCCTCTATCCAGTGGTTCATTTTGGGGAGGTTATGCAAGGATTATTTATCCGGAATGAGTGTTCTTTGATCAGGGATACTCTAAATTGGGACACACTGACAAATTATGATAAGATGTTTGGAGTATTGATGAAACAACAGCTTCATACCGGAACCCCAGTAAAAGAAAGCTCTCGTAGTTTTGTCAGTTCTGTCCACATCCTTCAAATGCCTCTCCTTCTGTGTTATGTTTGAGTTTTTCTGTTCTGATGCGATCCCTTTCTCATTATATTATTTTACAGAGGGCTGTGTATGCATGCACTTACTTATATATGGTGCTTCATCAGAATAAGACTCTTAAAATGTGCAGTGGCCGGGTAATGGCAGCCAGGAAATCTGCTTTATGAGATATATGCAGAAGACTTTTCCCCCCAGTGTGGAACAGATCATTATGATGGGCTAATAATTAATACATGCTATATATGTTTTTTTTTAAAAACAGGTTATGTGCTTCAAAGCTGTTAAAAACTGCTGCTTGTATCACACATCTTGCCTTTCTCCAGGCTAGCTGCAATAATTTTTTTTCTTGTGTAAAATATTTTGTAAACAAGGAAAAGCTGTTATTACAAAAAAAAAAGGGGGGTGGGCAAGGGGAGGGGGGAATGCTGGGGAAGAACGCCGGCATTATGATCGAGTCAATCTAATTTTCATTCCCAGTATTTCATTCTGCCATTTCACTACATGCTGCTGTGACATGAAGTAGGTGCAAAAGAACTTTTTGTACAGAGATATATTTTTTATGAAGAATTTGTAAAATTATTAAATATGCTGTAATTTTTTGATTAATGTAGGTAAATTGTTAAAAATAAATGTTTTTACAATACAAAAAAAATTGTAATTTTCCCAATAATGTAAAATTTACCATCTTTAGCTGATTTTCAGTTCTGATCCTATTACACATGTATTAATATAAAGTGGCCTGTTAAAAATAAACAGTATTCTCTTTGGCAAAAAAAAAATAAATACTATAAAAGATTGTAATATAGCCTGTGCAATGCCACCTACCTTGAAAGCAAGATCAGAGTTCTAATTAAATATTTAATTTTAGATTTTCAGCTTTTGTGTGACCTATTCTTATCAAGTTGTTTCCTTCTATTTACTTCTATGCTTTTAAAGCTCAGATACTGATTTTTCATTATGTTAGATTTTCAGTAGAATCTTAGTTTTGTCATTTTAAGTTCCCAAGCATTATGTAAATGAGCAAAAATTTTCTATTATGATGGGATCTACCTCCTGTTATGTTACACTTATTATTCAGATTTTAAAATGGGACTTCTTATACTCTCAGATCGTTTGGTTGCTTCGTTAAAAATAATGTATTTCTTCTTCCACAAGCTTGCATCCTACCTATGGAAGTGATGGATCTCATGTAGCCCGAGGTATTTCCATTTCTAACAACTGAAAGCTAGTTCTGCAGTCGCCTAGATGTACATACTTATACTGAGATGAAAATGCTTATATACGTAAGGATAGCCACATAAATTAGTGCATCAAACTTTCAGGATCAAACCCTAAAATTCGAAGTATTTAAAAAAAAAAAAAGTTACTCATTATTCATATCAAAGATTTATGTATTTGATTTACTTGTTGAAAGCTGAAGAAAGAATTAGTCAGGCTTCAGGAATATACGACATATTATTACTTTGGGAATCAGTGGTGGCATATGACCATGGCAAACTTAAAAAAAAAAATGAGATATGTACATGTCCTTGCTTCTTTTCTCATCTTCACAATCTGTCCTTCTGCCAACAGGGGAACCTTATAACTGCCTTCCAATATCTGAAGGGAACCTACAGGAAGGCTGAGGAGGGACTTTTTACAAGACTGTCCAATGATAGGACAAGAGGAAATGGGTTTAAGTTAAAGGAGAAGAGATTTAGATCGGATCTTGGGAAAAAAAATTCTTCAGTACGAGGGGGGCAAGACTCTGGAATAAATTGTCCAGAGAAGTTGTGGATGCCCCCTCTCTTGAGGTTTTCCAGGCCAAGTTGGATGAAGCTTTGATCAACCTGGTCTAGTTCCTTATATATAAGGAAGTAGAAGAGTTATACAACTATTTGTTTATATAAAATTGCAATTATTAAATTACAGACATATGAAGTAAATATATAGAAATGTGAATATGCTTGAATCCACAGGGGAACTTGGGCTCAGTTTTGCAGCATTTAACTTTCAGTTGTATTTGTTGCTTGGTAGAATCTTCAGCATCAAGTTGTGTGCCTACAGTCCATGAAGAAATTGTAAGAGGTAAGAATTTGCATGCAAGATCCACAGAGGCCAGCAAACTGAGTGGGGGTATGACAATACCAACAGTGATAATGCTAAATATAATGGCCAGAAATACCAGTGGGAAAAAACAAACCAAAACAAAACAAAACGGATGGAATCAGATACTATGGGGGTCATTTGTGGAGAGAAGTGATAAATTTCTTATTCTTGAAAAATGTCCATGTAATCGGTTTCCTAACAGCATTCTCAACCTCCTGATTCCTCGTGCTGTAGATGAGGGAGTACCACTGGGGGGGTACCACTGGGGGGGTA